TAGTTCGATTTCTTCCGAGAGGTGACCTTCCGGGGTGATGCCCCCCAGTATTTGAGGTTGATCGAAGAGAAGCCTTGAATACTTGATGAGTTCTTCTCAGGTAACATATGGATGTTGCCTCGTTAAAAACCTCGCTGGTTAAACCCATTTGGGAAAAACCCCGATCTATGGGAAAAAGAGCGCAAGGCGTGCTTTAAAACCCAAGGTCTTCGAGCTGGAGGGTGCTTCGATTCCTCTCAATCGAACACCTGCAATAAGTTAGAATAAAACATAAATGAAAAGGGAGAGGGTTGTACCTTAGCAATTCTAGCGTTCGAGCCTTGATACGTTTCAATTGCTTGCTCCGAGGACGCGGCACGATCCTTTATTCACTCGTTCGGATGTAGCTGAGAATGTCGGTTGTGGTTGCAACTTGGCTGTTTGCTTGTCTTTAGGCTCCTTCAATGTAGAGGGCGTCGATGCCGGTGTCATGTCGTGCACCGCGAACATATCTCTTGCTGTATGTTGCTCCCTGTACACTGTTTTTACTCCATCCTTGGTTGGAAATTTCATCATTTGATTAAGGGTTGATGGCACTGCCCTCATACTGTGTATCCACGGCCTTCCAAGGAAGGCATTGTATCTCATGTCACCTTCAATGACATGAAACTTGGTATCTTGGATTGTACCGGCCACGTTGACTGGGAGGATGATCTCCCCTTTTGTTGTCTCGCTCACCATGTTGAATCCATTGAGGACTCGAGATGCGGGTACGATCTGGTCGAGCAGTCTGAGCTGCTCCACCACCCTCGACCTGATTATGTTGGCCGAGCTACCTGGATCCACGAGCACACGTTTAATTGGAAATTTACTCAAAAGAAAAGAAATTACTAGTGCGTTATTATGAGGCTGAGACAAGGTCTCGATGTCCTCTTCGCTGAATGTGAGAGCATCCTCTGGTATGTAACTCCGGGTTCGCTTTTCCCTGGTGATGGATATTTTCGTCCGCTTGACAACAGGTCCCTGTGGGGCATCGACCCCTCCAATGATCATGTGGATGACGTGCTGTGGTTCTTCGTGTTCGTTTTTCCTGTTTGCCTCTCTTTTTCGAAATTGGTTCTTAGCTCGGTCGCTGAGGAACTCTCAAAGGTGCCCTTCGCTGATCAGTCGGGCTACCTCTTCTCGAAGCTGTCTACAATCCTCGGTCCTATGACCGTGAGTGCCGTGATATTTGTATACCAAGTTAGGGTTCCTCTGTGAAGGATCTGACAGTATGGGTTTTGGCCACCTGGTATCTTTGATTTTACATATGACCGACACGATGTCGGAGACATCAACGTTGAAGTTGTACTCGGATAGCCGGGGTGCCTCTACCAGCCCAGTATGCCTATTGAAGCCGGCTTTACTCATGAGTCCCCGGGAACTTTGACCTCGATCTGTCCTTCGATCGCCTCAAGGTATATTACGCCTCGGGGCGTTTCTTTGATCTTCTACATACGGCTGGTATCTTTCCTTGTTTGGTCTCGACTCCCTTTCTGTAAACCTTTGTTCCTTTGTTAAGAGCCTGCTAGGATATACTGAACCCGAGGGGGCTCCTAATTGGTCGTCTTCGACCCTGATCTTCGATTGATACCTGTTGTGCACATCCGCCCAGGTTACGGCGGGATATTCGATCAAATTTTGTTTTAGCTGCTTCGAAGCTACCGAGCTTCGTTTGTTCAACTTGAGTGAAGGCATGTACCACCCAGTCATCGGAGACTGGTGGTAATTCCATTCGCTCCATCTGAAAGTGATATACAAATTTCCTTAGCATCTCGTTTTCTCTCTGTTTGATCTTGAAGACATCGGACTTGCTGGCGACCTTGATGGCACCGGCGTGTGCCCTCACAAAAGAGTCTGCCAACATGGCAAACGAATCTATCGAGTTCGGGGGTAGGTTGTGATACCACATCATGGCCCCCTTCGACAATGTTTCTCCGAATTTCTTCAGCAAGACGGACTCAATTTTGTCATCCTTTAAGTCATTCCCTTTTACAGCATAAGTATAAGCGGTATTATGCTCATTGGGGTCCGTGGTCCCGTTATACTTCGGGACATCGGGCATTCTGAATTTCTTCGGGATGGGCTTCGGAGCCGCACTTCATGGGAATGGTTTCAGTATGAACTTCTTTGAATATACGCCCTTCAGAATCGGGGGTGCGCCCGGGATCTGATCGACCCTCGAGTTATAAGTCTCCACCTTTTTAGCGTTAGCTTCTATCTTCTTTTCTCTTGATTCAATCCTTTTGGTGAGGTCCTCGAGCATCTTTATAATAGCGGGGTCTGTTGCTGACCCGTTGTTACTCGATCTCTCTGGTGCCTGCTCGGCTCGAGGAGCCGTTTCCGGTGCTGCTGTACTTGGAGTTTTTTGTTGACTTTGTAGCTGAGCAATATCCACTTGTTGTGCTTGTAACATCTCAAAAATGACTTGAAGGCTAACTTCTCTTTCCTCCTGAGCTGGAGTCCCCTGTTCTTCATATTGGTTTTCCCCGTGCACACTTCCGTTGGTATGAGAGCTCACATCGATATGCACAGCGTTGCGTCAGCCCACGTCGACGGGGATTTGTGCTGGTGCCACCCCTGGGTTTTGCGGTGGTACACCGGCATTTGCACCGTTCTCTCCATGAAGCCCAATACCGTTGTTTTCGTGTGCATTTGCTGAGTTAGACATTTTTTGACCTGAAATCAAAGATTCTTGGACAAGAAAAAGTGTGAAGAATAACTTGTGTTTTCAGAAAACTAGCACCAAAACAATCACTATCATTTTTAACCCCACGGTGGGCGCCAAACTGTTTACCTTGAAAATGGTATTAACAATTATATTTGATTTTATGGTTCTAAAAATATGTGATTTATTTCAATACTAGTTGTTTGGCAATAGATGCTAAGTGTAAGTAAAGAGAATAAGATATGCAAACCAAAGTTATCGCAAGACTAGGCCTCGAGCTGGCTGGAACATGGGGCCTCAAGGTCTAGTTAGGGCAGTTAACAATGATCGATTGATGAAGAAACAATGATATCGAAGGCTTTGAGATAGCCTTTTGCGGTTAGTAATGGGCAATAAATGAAGAACAAAGAATGAAAAATAAATGAACAAGCAATAAAATCTGTAAAGTGATTGTAGAGCACGTTTAGGCAAGATAAGCAGAGAATGTTCTATTGTATTCAATATTCATGTCTTTTACAAAATGACAAGGGTCCCCTTTATATAGGAGCGGGAATCCCAACATAGTACATGTCTAATAATGATGAGGAAATGCTATTGGTACAGCTGTATAATGGCTCAGTACGAATTTGTACTATTCTTGCAGACTTGGTCGGCTCTAACCACGTATCCTTGGGAGCTTTCCCGCCTTTCCATGACGATCATCGATTTGTACTGCTCCGAGATTGACCATAGTGAACCTTCGATATGTTCCCTCGAGGACGCACCTCGGGGTCACACTTCAAACTCTGCTTCGAGCTTCTCGAGGTCGGGCGTGGAGTGCCACAGTAGCCCCAAAGTCGAACTCCCCGATTTTGGCCGTATACATGAGCGACTGCTGAAGTAAGTTCTGATAGTCTCATTCTTGTACGAGAATTTCAAGTTTGGTTTCCCCTTCCCAGTACGTTTCCTTTTCATTTTCTTTCTCGGTTTTAGTTGCCTCGTTTTGTTGATATTCTGAAATGGAGTTTTTAAAAATTATTTGCAGCGACAGCAGTGGAGATTGGAATGATGGCTTTGCAGTATTTGGGCTTGGTCGAGAGTAAGGTTTAAAATGTCTCTATTTGTGGTTTCTGTATGTTAATATTGTTGGAAAGAACTGATAGGGAACAGTCAAAGAGCTAGTTTTTGGTATTTCAAATTCTTCGAACAACGATTTTATTAAGTTCTGCAAAAAGTTTGGGGATTGTTGTTGTTTATGGTTGAAAGAAATCATCAATCAGAATCTACAAGTTTGGGGATTGAAGGTGACTCTTATAGACAGACGATTCTATGCCTGGAATGACCTTGTCAAATAGGTCAAAGTTAGTTTTAAAAAATGGTTAAAAATAGCATGGGCTAGCCAATTTTCGGACTGATCATTCAAATATAGTCAGCGTTTGCAAAGTCATTGAAAATATATTCACTAATGTTTGGGAGTTGGATTGCCATTCTAGTTAACAAAAACTTGTTCTTGATTTTTCTGGTTTGGTTGTCTTCCTTTTACCATTTTCACCATTCGTGCCAAAAAGGATGTTCCCTGCAAATTCGCCTAAAACGCTAATATTAATGTTCTTGTATGTGCCTTGTGCTGCTGCTTCATTACTACCCCAGCCTAAGAAAGTTGAACGAAATATGCTCGATAAGGCCACACGTATTTTGATGGAAAGACTACATTTGCTAACTGGGTGGATAGTATGCAGGAGAGAGGAATTGCTTTGTGTACACAATGACAATAATATAAGTCAGAAAGTATAGAAACTCAGATAATGTCCATCCAAAGGCGATGGATGGGGCAGTAGGACAATAGATTCAACTGCACTCGATAATCAACACAAAAACATATAAGTATATAAATCATTATTACCACATAATGTGAAAAAAAACTGAAATATTGCTATTTCGAGCACGAAAATAATGAGCATTATCAACTATAAATGCCCTCATAAGAACAACTATACGGTATTGCTACACCTTATAGATAATAGTACTAAGTATCCCAATATATACTATATTAGTGGAGTAAATGGTAAGAGAAGCCAACCCAACCAAGTATTAAAGGTAGATTTTGCAATCTCGTGGTTTCCCCCAAGAAGGACGGAGACTTTCTGACCTGAACATAAAACCTCACATTTACCAATCTGTCAAAGCTCGAAAGTGAAAAACACTAGATAGAACAAAATTTTGTTCCCACTAAACGCATGAACAAAAGTGAGATTCTACAACAAATAAAACTGAATAATGAATTTAGAAATTGTTCAACATAAAAAGCATGAAGATATCGCCATTAGGATACGAGTTAGCAGAGAAAGGATCCAGGATTCATCACACCATTCACATAATTTACATCTCCAAGAAACTCTGAGAACATTTTGATGTTATATCATACAATCAGAATTTCAAACTTTACTATGTTGATAACTAATATCTGGGAAATGTAAAATGATCTCTATTTTGTTTGTCTATCTGAGCAAACCTGGACCAGTCTTAAACCACCCAACGCAGAGAATAGCAGCATAAGAGATGCCATTAACTGGAACATTTCCCATCCTACATAAGCAATAAAATCTCGAACAGAAGTGGCACTTTTGCTGCTGTAGAGAACAACATCATGCAAAGCATAAAATCTCAGCAACGTTATATTTTCTGTATAAGGCATGGAATCCCAGCAATATTTTATCTCTTAGAAAGAGACTACAGCAGCTTTCATATTACCCAATTTAAGAACTGGTTCAATATTAACTGGCTTTTGGGTGGAGGTAGAAAGCCAAGGTATAGACATTTTCTAGATGCTTCCTCTGTAACACTATCCCAAAGAAAGATCCCACTTTTAGCAACAACTATCAAAATTTGAAATGAACACCAGTTATATTCCCTCCAGCTTGGCATCGCTACCACATTTTCCATAAGGTTCTTATCCAATAGATAATCCCCTAAAAGGGTGCACATTGTTGAATGATACATTGAGCCCGGGAATAAAAATCCCAATACATTACACTGATTAGCAAGTCTTCTGAAGAGCTAATGAAAAGAACACAATACATTGTGAGTTAACTGCATCGCGGCCAAACGCCATAATATGGTGAGACTTCAGCCTCAGGTTGAACAAGTTCATCCGACATTAACAATGAAAACTACAGCTTCCTGATGCGCTTTAAAAGATTGAGATCAAGGAAAAAAGTATTGCTCGATGCATTGAGAAAGATTAAGACAGGGGACAAGAACTACAAAATGCCACACAACAATGGACAGAAAACAAAACAGTTGGCTACTAGTACTAGTCATCCTCATAACAAAACTGCAGACAACTGTAGTTGAACATGTCATAAGACAAACTACGTTCCTTCAACTATCTCCATTCATTTTCTGTCTAATTCTTTCCATCTTGATCACTTCCAAAATGATTTAAGACACTTACGTATAATGGAAGCTTTTTAAAGTTAACCATTCCCATTATGCATTTTTTTTAAATCAGTAAAAAGACAATATTTGCATTTTGCACTTAATCACAAGCTCTTAAAGGAGTTTACGTGATATGTTGACCCTAGTAGATACTATGGATACTAATGGGTATGTCATACTCCCTGTGTCCCAATTTATGTGATGCAATTTCCGTTTTTAGGCTGTCCCAAAAAGAAAGATACATTTCAATATTTAGAAACAATTTAACTTTAATTCCTGTTTTACCCTTCATGAGTTGATTTATAGCCACACAATTATCTATAACTTGTTTTAGACCACAAGTTTCAAGAAAAAAAATTCTTTCTTAAATTTCGTGTACAGTCAAAATGCATCACATAGAATGGGACGGAGGAGTACATATTTAGCTTGTGTGTCAAAAGCCTAGTTTTTTACTAAAATTCTATGTCCTTTTCCATCTTCCCTTTGCATATGCATAATCAAAATGAGAAAAAAAAAATGCAAAACCATGTCTGTTAGTTATCCTATCTTTAGGTTGCACATTAGGTGAAATATTCACTGAAATTGAAGATTGGATATAGATAAATATGAGGACGTCTCACTACTATCTAGGAGTAGAGTGAAATTTCTAAAACTAGAAAAGAGATGTGCATATTTATATGTTGCAAAATAATAAATGCATTTTTGAAATATTCACTATTTCCAACAAACCTTCAGAAGATTCCTCCAGCAGAAGCAGGCTATAGCACTATAGCAGTGTATTCACAGGACAAACCAAACATGATAGGAAATTAGACAAATTCGTTTGAGGCTCCAATAGGGAACCTAACCAGCCCAAGAAAGTTCGAGAAGTCTAACCTAAATTAAATATTAAGGGATCCTTTCAAATGATTTCTAATTAGTTATACTCTTTTTCCTCAAGCCTTTCCAGAAAAGCGCGATCAGAATTAGCAAAAACATAGAACTGTCAGAAAGTCTTAACACCTAAACCAGAGCACCAGAATATATATGACACATCAAAGGCAACATATTAAGGATATATCTCACAATCTACAGGCCCAATATGCAGTGAAAAGCAAGATGATAGAGTCAAGCGGTAATGGAAAAGAAAAGCTGCAAATATACTCAAATGGAGGAGTTAAATCAGGTAAAGCTTTAGAAATCTCCTGGTTGTTTTCTCATTATTTATTCATAGTAATATGATAGGAAGGTGACAACTCGTTCAGAGAGACAAATTCAAGGTATTTAACTATATACCACCTTATATATTCGCAATGTGTCTTCTGCATCATCACAAGAATCATATCTATTATGAGCAAAATCTTAGAAAGAATCATAAGAACTTCGCTGTGCTCTCACACAATACGAAACTATATGAACATCTAATGCTATGAAAAATCTAAGCCTAGTAGAGTCTAACAAGAGTGAGAACGCACGCAAACCATGCAGAGAAAGAGAAGGGACCAGCATACGCAACTAGGGGAAACAGAATCTTCCTAGGACCTTGAGATCATGCTACAAGATCGAGCCAATCGAAACTTCATGCTGCCTCCATCTACGGTAGCCTCACTCTCAACTGAACCGTGGTTGTACTGCTTCCTGCAACCTGGACAACGACCATCCTCCTCAAGAATCCTCTTGTGGCAAAAAAGGCAAAGTATGAACCCACATGTACAAGGGTGAAAACTCGTGTCTGTAAGATCCAAATCCTCACAGCATATAGGACATGATGTGGGTACCGATAACCTTTTACAACCCCATAAAGCACCTCCATGGCAATGCCGCTCAGAATTCATAGGGAAACTATACTGCTTAGACAAGTTTGGCAGAATCTGTGGACGGAATGCATCGTCGGGCCTCCACGCCTTGCAACTAACTGGAGGTCTAGATGCCAAACCTCTGTGTTCAGACTTCTGCTTTGTTGTATCAATACCTGTAACCCCATTAGAAACATTGGTCTGAGAACTCAAATGCACATTCTCACCCTTCTCTCGAGGCGAATCCAAACCAGGATGATGCTGCTCCAGCTTCTGATCAGTGGCAGCCAAAGCATCTGCAACAGCCTCCCAATCGTCCAAGCAGTCATCATCATCCCCCTGTTCATCTTCTTCACTCAAACTTCCTGAACAACACCCACCAGTTCCACTGCAACTGCTAATACTACTGCTGCTGCTCCCTGCAAAATTGGCCGCAGAATCATTCCCTTCCATAATACTACTAGTATGGCTTATGGGACTGTTAGAATTCGAATCCGAATCGCTGTAGTGGTTTGAGGAATCAATATTTACTTCATTGTCTTCCTCCGCTCTCGGCTTTATCTCTAACTTCTCTATCAACCGGCCCCTCTCGTTTGCAACATTAGTTGCCGGAGCCTGATTCCCTCCAACATTCATTTCATCCTTCGACCCTTTGTTCTTCACTATACAAAAACCCAGAATTACCAAGAATTAAAAACATACAAGTATAAAAGTTAAATAAATAATCACATAACCACTGTATAGTACCTTTCTTGAAATTAAAAAAAATACTATATTTTTTTAAAAATCACCAAAGAGAATTACTGATACATGCAAGATATAAGAAAAAGGGGGGATCTTTGACAACCTTGTGAAAGCCATTGCTCGCGTCGAGCATCAAGCTTGCACTGCTTCAACTTGGCCGACCGGTTAGCCTGACATTGGCAGAAGAAAATCTCAGAAATTTAACTCAATCTTTTTATTGCAGAAATTTAATTAAATAAGAAACTTCAAGGAATCCCCACGGTGTGGGATATTACTGGGTATGTTGTTGTTGTACAAAACTTCAAGAAATATTGATCCATCAACTTAACGAGAGTCAATTTCACTAATTGTCAGGGCTATATCCAACTAGATTAACTCATATTTTTACAATTAAAATTCAGTAATTTATATTCCAAGTACTATATGTTGCAGTTTTGTCAGGAGCTAACTATTTTGGAGAATAAAGAATACTAGAAATTATACGAATTGGAAAAATTAAAGGAAAATGCAAAAATGTAATGTCCCCATATCAGGAAATTACAAGAAAATACTATAAGTTGCAACTTCCCAATATCAAAATGGTAAAAAAAAAAAGATTAGTGTCAAATATCTAAACTAAAAACTAAAAAGAAATGGAAGAAAATAAATTAGTGTCAATTACCCTTTTTTTCTTGGCGAAATCTTTGGGATTAGAGGAAGCGACAGGGATGGAAGCGTTAGGGATTGAATCAGAAACCATTGCTACTGATTGGTCCAGAGAAATGAAAAACCCCTAAATTGATCGAAGAAATATCAAACTCAAGAATTTAGGAAAGAGAAGGGAGATGGTATTGGTGAGTGAATGAGAAGGGATAACAGAAACTGGAGATTATGTGCTTCCTTCACTTTTTCAGACTTGTAAAACCAAACGTGAACCACGGAAGTGCGTATATATATAGACTAATTTATGTCCAGAATTGACCTTAATTTTGATGCAATTATCTCTGCGGCCAAAAAGATGACGAGAAGAGTAATTGAAATATCTAGGGGTGATAATGACTTTTGGGCTGTGAGTACCCAAGGACGGCAGAAACGACGTTGTTTGATGAAGGTGCCAAATTTTGGGTAATTCGTTGGTCCCAATTAGGTGAGTGCAAGAAAAAACAAAAATTGAATGAAATGAAAAAACTAAATCGGCGGAAAAAAATAAACGTGTACTTTAGTTTAGTACTATGAAAATTATTAAAGCACGATACGATTTAATATTCAATAAAAACTATTGATAATATAATATTTTATAAATTTATACACAAATATCTATTTATTTATTTAGATATTTTTAAGAATTTTATATGACTTGCATAATTCTCTTTTTCAGATGGTTTTATTGCGTATTTATGACACTTACATGCGATATTATGTTAATGTGACTACTGCGTGTGTACCATGTATAAAGAAGAAAAAGCTTTTTGAAAATTGCATAATTAATTATTTGAAAAATGTGTTTGTGTTACATCTTTGATTTCACTATCTCGATTCAGTTCTGAAGCCAAAGAATTTGATAGCTCGCGGTCTTAGATAAGAGAGGATAATGATCGTCGCGTAAACCTCTATGAGAAGTTAAACAATTGTTTCACGTAAATGAATTTATTTTTCTTGGCAGCGTGATGTTTAGCCATGTCAGCTACATTGCTTTCACATAGGCATGACCAACGGTCAAAGTGTTTATTAGTACCCATTTTGTCAAGTTGGAGTGCTCAAATGGGAAAAATATAAGTTCATGTATCGGCTTTACAAACTGATACAAGTTTGAGTGGCCACGAGGCCATTTGGCCTAAGTAGAAAAGAGAAATAAAAGTTACACTACAGAGAGCCTGAAAACAGGCCCAGGTTTTCAGCACCCGATTAGGACTTCCTCCCTGAGTTATGCAATAAATCACCTCAAATGCCAAGATTGTTCCATAGCCTTTCTCATATCTGGGTGTATCAGAGTTCCCTAAGGACCTCAAGGGTTCCCGGGCAGTGCTCACACCCAGATTTCATAGCCAATACAGAGTAAGTGCAGTGTGGAAAGGCCATCTTTTGTGTGTCCAAGTTCAGAGGGAGCCCAAGGGTCCCAAGGCAAGGCTCACACAAAAGGGGCAGAACTTAGTGGTCTAAGAGTAAGGTGAGAGTGCTTGACATAATGATGAAAGACTTAGTAAAGCAGTTTAGAAATGAAAAGGTTCAGAAATAGTTTTTAAAGATACTAGGAGTTATGAGTTTTGAAATTATTCTTTGATAAAAGCATACTCAGCAAACAACCCAATTAACCATAGAATACCCAGATTTACTTGACAAGCAGACTTACAAACAGGGGTGAAGGGATTGGGAACATGTAGGTTTGAAACCACATAAAATAAGAAAACATTTGACACAACAAATATACAGAACAGCTGTGAGTCTATTGAACAAATCAGTCATGGTAACAGACATTTAAAACATAGGGAAGAATGCAGCAAGATCATGTTGAAGACAAGAGTTTTGTTGAATAAAATTTGACATACCATTAGGGCCAATAGAATGCACTAGAAGACTAAGTAACTACATGGTCATACCAGTTAAGGGAGGGGTAAGGAAACTAAGTGAACATGCTGGACAAGTATCAAAGAACTAAGTAAAGTCTGATATGATGATTACACATAAGGCAGAATTTAGACATGCTTAATAACAGCAAACATAGAAACAAATTGAATAACCAGTACAGTAACAAGCCTGGATGTATAGGCATGGAACGCATAAAGTTGAGTTTCAAATTTAAACTAGAGGCATACCAGTTAAAGAAGAAAAATGCAGAATGTAAAAAATAGGTGCAACTCCACTATCTAGCCTTGGCTTTCAACCCGCTAGGCCAACAGTCAGCACAAGTAGCAAAGAAAGAAGAGAGTTTGAACGTATGTGTGTATTCTGAACTGTGTTCGTGTCTGAGGTGAGAATAGAGGAGAGTATATATAGTAGTTGAGAGCAGAGTAAAATAAGGTAAAGAATCAATCATTCAGTAATTAGGGAAAATTACATAATCAATCATGCATAAAATCAGCAAGGTTTTCTTCTAATAAAGAGGTGACCAGTTAATGATAAAGAGCATGGCATATAATTAAGGAAAGAAAATTAAATACTTAGGTACAGGGTGGGTAATTAAGGGTAAATGAACAGAAGTTTAATTAAGGGAACAATCAATAAGAATCAGCAAGTACCACAGTTATGGCAAGAAATAATCAAAGGTCGTAGAAATCGGAAAATAACCGGAAATCAGTATATATGTTTTACCATAGTAAATTAGTGAATAAGGATTCAAAATAATACCAATTTAGGAAAAATGATATAGGTTTTCCATGAATAAGCAAATAAGCCAAGTATAAACGGAAAGAATCGAATCTGAAACCCTAATAGAGGCATACTAGGGTAAAATCACAAGATATTCTAATTAAACGAAGAAATAATCATGTAAATCAAAGCATAGAACATTAGCATGTATCAAATAACACGGACAAGTGCAGAATCCAAACAAAGTGTCAAAAATTGGGGGTTTTAGCATAGGCTAGTTAGGGCCAAGGAAGAACTCAACAAAATCAATCAAAACATATAGACACAGGGGACTGAACACTTGAAACCAGAAAGCGTTTTGAAGAAAAGGATTTTCAGAAACCCTAGTTTAGAAAAGAGCGAATAAAATCGAAATAGTTAGTTAAAACATGGGATTTTTAAAGAGAAACGCTTAATAATACTCGAATCACCTCAGATCTATAAAGATCTGAGAAGAATCGAATAGTAGCGAACTAGGGTTTTCGGAAAATAGTAGAGATGAAGAGAATCGGTTAAAAACTCATGGATTCAAATGAAAAACAAGAGGAAATCCTTTCTTACAAACGAAAATGGCCGAAGACAGGCCAGTAAACGGGTTTCAAACCGGAACAGGTTGGCTTTCCTTGAGATCTTCTCAAGGACTCATGAAGTCGAAGAGCCATGGAGTATAAGAGACCAGAGGTGGTCGGAGAAGGCACGAAAACACCATAGGAAGGAGGTTCTCGCCGGTGACGGTGATTAGGGTTTGAGGGTGTCTGAGAGAGAAGATAGGAGGAGAGGATTCAGAGGCGGTGCAAATGAGAGAATGGGGTAGGGGTTTGGGGGGGTCGTTGGATTAAAAAACGGAAAG